CCTATAAATATTATCCTCCTCTATGCCCTATGGCTCTTCAAGCTCTTCAGATATAGGCATAGTGCTTAACTATCGATATTTCGTGTTTCTATTGGTTGAAAGCATTGGCTTCCACGCGCTTCTTTCTTTCATCACGTGCCATCCATGTTTTTTCCCTATGGCTCTCTTCAATCTTTTTTTTTTTAATAATAAGTATGATAAACTTAAATCATACTTGTATAAACAAATATTTCAGCTCTTAACTTGAATCTCTAAAGTCTAAACCATTGTGAAAAATGCTAGTCAATCCCTATATAATTTTCAAAATCGTATCAGTCCCCATATAAATATAAACGAGGATATGAAAACTATATATCGGGATTGACTAGCGTGTTTAACTATGGTTTAGGAGTTTACAATTTACATTTCATGATAAATAAAGAAAAACGGACCCCTCTCTCTCTCTATATATATCACATGTTACACAGTACAAATAGAGAGAAAGAAACATTCTACACACACACACACACACAAATGTTATATATGTACACAGTACAGTTTTGTAGATATATTGGCAATTCTTTATCAAATGAAAGAGAGATGCCTTGATATTTTTTCTGCATTTGCACCTGCACCTCACCATCTATATAAATCTCTCTCTCTCTCTCTCTCTCTCTCTCTCTCTCTCTGTGTATGTATCATTAATTTTTCATGAGAGAGATTAAGAGAGAGGTGCAGGTGCATTTGCAGACGAATTATGGTATCTTATATATTAATCTGCTCCGATCCGGTTTCTATATTAATTGTGCTTCTATTTTTCTCTGTCATCATCAGTTTCATAAATTCATCTTAATTTTTTTCCCTTCATATTTTACACACATTCATATGTATATGCGTGCAATTATATATGTACTGAATCGAAGAGTGAATAATTATCAGGTATTATAGCGTGAGCAAGAAGAGCTTTTATATCTGCGGTGAACGAGAAGCAACGGGGTCGGGATTAATAGAATCTCGTGATTTCGTCGATCACCTGTTTCGAAACATCCTAATTAATTAACCCTATTCTTTGTTTTTTTTTTTTTCTTGATCATAGCTCATTAATATGATGGAGTAAAATACTATAGGAATTGATTGGTTCTGTTTCTAACCGTGTGATCAAGACATTATTCTTGCCATTATTATTGTTTGGTTACTTGTACGCAACACCTATCAAGGTATGTGAATAATTAATCGGAATTAAATTAATTAATTAATTAATTAATATGGTTTTTTTTCAATTAATTATGATCATTAATATGAATGAGTTTAATACATCTGAAAGAAAAGCAGGAGCTACACTCCATGAACAAGATTTCATGAGCTCCTATAGAAATAAGAAAAAGGAAAGGAGAAAATAAAACATAAATATAAGCTTTGTGTATGTATTTAGTAATATGTATCTAGTTAGTGTATTTTTATAGAACTCTATTTATCGATGTGATGATGTCATCCTAGTCTCGCTTACACTATTAGTCTTGAGCTTCCACCGCAATCTTGGTCGGACATCGTTCTTGCAAGAGTTTTGAGTGGTCGAGATCGTTACATATAGTTATGATACGAGACCTATGTATGCGACATAGTCCATATCAATCCTTTAAAAAAAATCCTTACGGCAAGAATGATGCTTGAACATTGTAAGACATTGAACCCGTCATCTTCATGGTAAAATTTTAAAATGTTAAGGCCTCGTTTGGTTGCCAATATAAGATTAACAAAGCTAAGATTAAATATTTAATAAAGCTCAATTATATTATTGGACATTCGATGATCCAATAAAAAATATGGCTAAAAGTCAAGATAAGGCACAATAAAATAATATTTGCGGGTCGACCTGGCAAGTTATTGAAGATATCAAACATCAAACAAAGTTCAATTATTTAGTTAATCATCAGTCATCACTAATCCCAACAAAATGAGGCCTAAATATATAAAATAATACTGTAGGTATTGTATAATTTTGTAATTAAGTAATTGATTAAGGGTACATGTTGATGATGTTCGTGTTACTAAATTAAAGTAATGTGTTTAAAACCTGCCCAACAAATTTTCAGAAAAAGCAAAATTCCTGTCCCAATAACTATATGGGCTTGTAATATTTGGACTAAATAATATAAACGCCCAGAAATAAATTATAGTGAAAATGTTTAAAACCTGCCCATATACAAAAATGTGGGCCCTAATTTTGAGAAAAACAAAAATTCGGGCCCAATAACTATACGGGCTTTTAATATTTGGACCGAATCATATAAAGGTGCAGACAATGCACTCGACGCTATACGACGTCGTCCGGTGGAAAAAAACAAGCAAAACCTTCGTCTACCTCGCGCACCACAATCTAGGGTTTCCAGTTTACAGTTTCCCAATCCAATCAAAGCAAATCTAATGGGTGGAAAGTGCCCCCACCGGAAAGTGAAGAAGCGCCGCTACTCTCATAAATCCGCTAGACGGACCAAATTCGAGCTCATGGATATCCTTTTCTATTTTTCTGAATATATATCTCTCTTAATTTTGTTTTTTACTCGAATGATTGTTTTTTCTTGACTGTCGATTGTTCACGCGACGACGCCGTTTACGATGAGCTTAAGAAATTGGATGGGGAGAGTAAATCATTGCCCGTAGATGAAGATCTTCCAGGAATGGGCCAGTTCTATTGTCTTCACTGCGAGTAATTTTCCACCGATTCTTCTTTTTTTTTTTATTTAATATTGATTTTTTTTTTTGGTTGCAAATTAATTTTATCTTTTTTCAGTCGCTATTTTGCTAATGTGGAGGTGAGGGATGAGCATTTCAAAACCAAAAAGCACAGGAGACGGTACGTATACATTTGTATTTACTTCGTGTTCTTTTGAAGCATTTATCCATGGTGTATTTCGATTCGATCGTTCTAATTTATGTGCTTCGTTCGATTTTGATTTTTAGCTTACTGGATTGATATTGAAAATTTTGAGTGTTGAATTTATACTAGCTTATTCGGGACTAATTTACATACAATTTCGTCCTTGTTAATTGGATTTGTGTATTGCCTAATGTCAGGAATTACTAGTAAATTAAGCCTCGTTTCATCTTATAAAAATGATAAAGAATAAAGAAATCGTGTACTCACTTTGTGATATTTTGGGCGTTTGATTGTACTCCGCTGTGAAAAAATCGTGTCTGTTTTGTTTTCGGAATTTTCGGGTGTTTTAAATGTTACACTAATCAATTCTTCGGAAATTCTTAATTCTTATACTATTGATGATTCATTCTTGAGTAACTTTTGGTTAAATATTTTCGGGTGTTTACTATAGTACACTAGTCAAGCTCTATCTCAAACGATTCAAATATCTATGTTTCAAATCCATGAGATACGAAAGGGTACTTTTGTCCAAATTGAGCTCTTATCATCATCATCATCCCTAATATTCCCAATTTT